GATGTTGAGGAAGAGCATGAAACAGAGGAGTTATCTGATGATATTGGCGAGATGGAGACTGAGACAGAAACCTCAGATACTGAAACAGATGAAGACACCAATGTGCCATCACAAAGGTGAGGGAAATACTGTTTAATATATAACTATTCTCTACATAATTGTTACACCACAATATATTATTTTTCACAATATTTAAAAATATTACTCTATATGTATTTTTTATATTTCAGGGTTTACAGTAAAGAATACAATCAGAGAACTGAACCAAAGTTCATTGTATTTTTTTCTCAACTGTTCACCCTATTTTAAATTTGCTGTTTGTGCAAATGTGAAAATACCCTTGTTGAGGTAAATGCACATGGGACAAAGGCAGAGGTGGTAACAGTGTGTGTCAACCCCGAGTGTGAAAAACGTGCAACATGGTTTAGTCAGCCAAACTTTTCTGGAACCAAAATTGCGGCTGGTAACTTTCTTCTAAGTTATGGAATAATTTTGGCCAGAACCTCAGCAACGAAGGTGTTCAGAGCATTGAGACATATGGGAATGACCTGCATATCACTGTCAACTTTCTTTAGGTATCAGTGGGTGAGTTTTTAATGATCATTATCAAGTGGATTTTCTTCTTCCTAAGACATCAATTTACCCAAAAATTTCACCCCCTAATGTCATATCTTTGCACTTTATACAGGAAAAAGTATTTCCATCCATATTCGTACATTGGAAGAAGTATCAAGCAGAGCTTCTTGATGAAATCAGATCAAAGGAAGAAGTAGTAATTGCTGGAGATGGAAGGCATGATAGTATGGGGCACAGTGCTAAAGGGGCAAAGTGAGTCAAAAAAGCATATTTTATGTTTTAGAAGTGACAAAGGTTCTAACTAAAATTGCCAAAGTTAGTGGATGTGAGGCAATTGCAGAGTGGATAAAGCCTTGCACTAACCACTTGTTCTGGAGTAAAAGAACAACCCATGATGGAAATGGTGAAGTGATATGGGCCAAGTTTTCCTCCTTCCTGAGTCATGTTGTCGATGAGCATGAAAATTTAGAAAATGCACTGTTTTACAAATGTGCACATAAGGATGCTATTCAGCCACGAAAATGGCTTGAGAGAGGTACAAAATAAATTAAACGTATATCAACACCATGTACAGTAGCAGCTAGTCAGAACAGTGCTATTTTATAGTGGCATTACAGCTAAATGGGTAAGCAATTTTAAACATTTGTAGATTCCATTGCATATGAGAAAATGTGCTCATCACTCACTGACAAAAAACTGAAGAAGGGAATAATGAAAGCATCTCCTATTGAGCAAACAAGTTGCTTGGAGGGATTTCATTCCGTTTTAAACCAATTCTCTCCAAATATGATCAGCTACAGTCACAAAGAATTGTTTTGCAAGTAAATATAATATATATGTATATAGTGTCCTTTTAGTGTACAACATTCCCTCATTTTAAGTTTTACATGTTAACATTAGAAATTACTGTGGCAAACATTCTCTTTTAGGCATGCTATTGCAGCAATACATTTCAATGAAAACTTTTCACGTGAAAAACTGATGAAAGATGGTGTTGAGCAATACCACATTGTCTATCCAAAGTTTTTGAATGGAGAGGCAGTTGTTAGAAGTGTTCCAGTTAAACGAAATTTTAGTAAGTTTGCACATTAGCATTGTGCAAGTTCACTGTTCCACATACCCAAACAAGTAAATATAATGAACGCAAGGAATACATTAAATATTTGGGAGTTTTATTAGATGAACATTTAACTTGGAAACAACATATAGATTATGTAGCATGTAAAGTAAGTAAAACCATTGGAATTATCGCCAGACTCCAACATTTTGTTCCTCTTCAGGTACTTACAAATATCTATCGATCACTTATTCTTCCTTATCTATCCTACGCTATTTCTGTTTGGGGGAATGCTTCTAAAACAAACTTAAAAAAACTCTTGGTACTTCAAAAGCGTGCTTTACGGTTAATGCATTTCGCTAATAGTCGCGATCATGCCGTTTCTTTCTTTAAAAATACAAATAACTTGCCTATTAACATGTTATATGTTGAAACAGTTTCTAAATTGATGTACGACATTAATCATAATTCAGCGCCTAAAAATGTAATGGATCTCTTTACTCAAGTTGCTACTGTTCATTCCTACAATACCAAATCCTCTGCTACTGGTAACTATCAGATAAAATTTTCTCATACAAATCAACAGCATAATGCTTTCTCTAGAGTTGGTGCTAAGGTATGGAATTCTGTTCCTGAATATCTCCGTAATCTTAAAAAAAAGGATTTCACTAGGAAAATTTGTACTTTACTAATCGAAATTATGAATAACGAAGATGACTATGTTGACCTCCCCATGATTTTGCAGAGTATGTCTGTTTGATTTTATTTTTAATATTTCATGGATACATTACTAACAGTATACTTTTCATTTTGAATTTCGAATAGTGTCTCTATACTTTGTTTGTTCGCGTCTATAAACAATAAAATTGTCTGCAATTCATTGAAATTATAGTTATATGTGTAAATTATACTTCATGCCCGCCTCTGATTAGCTATTGCTATTTGCGGGTCATGGTATTTTTATGTCATGTATTTCATTGTATTGAATAAAATTGTATTGTATTGTATTATTGTATTGTATATGTATATAATTGATTATATGTAATAGATTATGTTGAGGAAATCTTCCAAACAATGGTAAAATCAATTGGAACTGACAAAATCAAGGATGTGATTGATAAACTGAATAAACAGACGCCACCCCCAATGAATACTATGCTCGTTTCCAATAATATTCTTGTAGCCAAGCTTTGTCGGCAATCTGTTCCTCCATGTAGGCCTCTTCGACTGAGTCGCCATACATTTGCTGATTTTGCTCGCCATAACTGGCCTCAAAATCTGTTTCAACGCACTCATCTTCAATTTCACACAGAGTTTTATCAGAATAATTGCTAAGGGTGCTCGACTGCGAATTTGAGCTCGACATTTTTGATTTTTCACCTCAAAATAGCTGTTTTTTTCACTAGCCAACTCAAGTTGTAATACAATTTCCTAGTGTCAAAATACTGTGTGTTCCTCCGACCCAGTCCCTCTGTTTGCACTACTTTATTTTCAGAATTCCCACTTTGAGCCCCTATATCTCAAAAAGTAGAAGTTTAATCGAAATCTAATCTAGAACTTATATTGTAACTTTTTACGCTCTATCCGAATAATCAAAAACCCATTTTGGGTTCGTAGGCACTTTAAAACGAGTAATCACTGCTGATTATTGATTGATTTGATAATTGGTCATACGGAGCCATTACAACCAAATCCCAAAATTTAATATGTAAAATTTTTATGCCATCTCGGAAATTATGTAATTTACCCATTCAATGGCCTTCAAATATTCAATTTTAATTTAAAAAGTATGTGTCAAATAAATTTACCTGTTTGCTGAAGATTTCCTGTGATGCTCGCAAAGGCGGCCTCGCGTTTATCCCGGTTTTTTAAATCTGGCAAGCGAACATTGAACAAACAAGGAAAATCCTGCCATAAATCAACCAACTTGTCTTCGACAATAACCTCAGTTACCATATTGCTTTCAGCCATCTTGAATGATTTATTTTGAAACACGACGCATGCGCTTCAAGAGCAACCTGTAAGCAAAGTGCTTTCGTTCCCCGCACACACAAAGCATTTGTTCATTTGTGACAAAAATGTTTGATTTTTGGCTTACATGCCACGAATGACCAAAATCGCTAGACATGTCGCCAGCACATGAGAGCAACTAACTGGCTTGCGCCAATGGTCATGAATGACATTTTGCTGAGCACGTAGCTCTCGTGTGCGCCGGGCTTTAGATCAATTCCATACCCGATTATGAAAGCTTTCTCAAACATGTGGGTTCGCTGATGTTGACTTCGAAGTAGAACAACAGATAATAATGGCAGGGACTTCTTCAAGAATACGCGAGAGAGCCCTAAGAGGTCCTGAGTACACACTCAAAGATATCCTTCTGGATGGTCGCAAGGATGAGCAGAGTTAATACCAAGCCCGAGTCATAGAATCAAAGGACCAGAACAGCAACAGCATATAACCCCCCCAATACAATTGACGCGAAAATGTCATTTTTGTGGCGGTTCATATCGCCATCAAGGCGTTTGCCTGCGAAAGGGAAGAGTTGTCATAAATGGGGTAAGCAGAATCATTTTTCTAAAGTATGTCACGGCAAGCCTAAAAGGTGAGCAGATTGGTGAGCAGATAAAATTAAATATTGATTCCACACACCCACCAAAAGCGCAGCCACAAAGGCGTATCCCTTTTTACATATGAGAAAAAGTGAAAGCCGAAATTAGAACAGTTAGAGCGTAGTGACATTATTGAACGAGTACCAGAGTCACAACCAACCCCATGGGTTTCTGCCATAATAGTGATAGTCCCCAAAAAGGATGGCGAAGCGCATCTGTGTGTTGACATGAGACAAGCAAATTCAGCGATTAACCGAGTTGGACACCCAATACCGACAGTAGAAGATATTTGACTTGAACTAAACGGTGCAAAATGGTTTTCAAAACTAGATCTTTCCCAGGCGTACCATCAATTAGAGTAAGAAGAAAATAGTCGTTATATCACAACTTTTAGCACTCATGAAGGACTATTTAGATACAAACGTTTGAATTACGGACTAAGCAGCCACAGAGATTTTCAGTTCACCCTACAAGAACAATTGCGAGGATTACAAGGCGGTAGGAACATTGAGGACGACATAATAATTTATGGGAAATTGATACAAGAACATGATGAGAACTTAGTTAAATGCTTACACAGGCTTTACCACAAGGGATTGCGACTTAACAGATTAAAATGCACATTTCTGAATAAGAGCTTAGACTTTTTTGGACAAGTCTTTTCAGAAGGTGGAACGAAACCAGATCCCAAATGTGTAAAGGACTTACAAAATGCACCAACACCCACAAATGTACACAATGTTCGAAGTTTATTAGGCATGGCCAATTACAGTAGTCGCTATATCGCAAACTTCGCCACAATAACAGCACGTTACGTGAGTTGACAAAAAAAAAATACGAAATTTGAATGGCGAGACGTTCATCAGAAGGCATTCCAACAATTGACATCTGCACTATCAGCAAACGAGTGCATGGCATATTTTGTCACTCAAAAGGACACATATATCACAGCAGATGCAATTCCAGTAGGTATATCCACTATTTTATTACAATCAACTCCAGGCAAAGATGATGAGAGAGTTGTAGCCTACGCCAGTCAGGCACTGACGGAAGTTGAAAAGCAATATGCGCAAACAGAGTGTGAAGCCCTAGCAATCGTCTAGGGAATAGAACACTTCCATCTCTTCATATATGGTTCACAGTTCACATTAGTCACTGACCACAAGCCTCTTGAGGTCATATACGGCAACAGAAACGCAAAAGCATCTGCCCGTGTTGAGCGCTGGGTTCTGAGACTGCAACCTTATTCATTCAAAGTTATTTATAGACCAGGACGAACGAATCCTGATGATTATCTCTCTAGGCACCCAGTAGAAACAAGCTTCGAACAGCAACGCATGACCGAAGAATATGTTAACTTTATTGCACTCAACAGCGTTCCGAAGACCATGACAATTGAAGAAATTGTAAAAGCGACGGATGAAGACCAAGTCTTAAAAGGTGTTCGAGCAGCAATCAAACTAAATAAGTGGGACTACAACATTGTTAAACAGTTCAAGCAAGTCAAAGACGAGCTGTCCGTTACAATGAAAGGAGTTATACTCGGTGGTGCTAGAATAGTAATTACAGAAAGCCTTTAACAAAGAGCCATTGATATTGCTCATGATTGTCATAGGGGGGGCTAACAAAGACCAAGGCACTTTTAAGAGAAAATATGGTTTCCTAATATAGATCAATTAGTGAAAGACACCGTAGCGAAATGCATTCCTTGTCAAGCAGTAGGAAAGCCAAAACCACCAGAACCTCTGTCTATGACGAGCATGCCAAAGGGACATTGGGAAGTTATTCATGCCGATTTCTACAGTCCGTTACCATCTGGAGAATATCTTCTAGTAGTGATCGATTGGCACTCCAGGTATCCAGAAGTGGAAATCGTGTCGTCAACTAAAGCTTCAACGGTTATACCTAAGTTTGACAAAATGTTCGCAAGGCATGGCATACAAGATACGTTAAAAACGGACAATGGCCCTCCTTTTCACAGAGAGGAATATCGACGATATATTCGAGCGTTGGGAATTAAAGTATTATATTCCACACCACATTGGCCGCAAGGTAATAGCGAAGCCAAACGATTCATGCAGCCCTTAGGCAAAGCTTTAAGAACTGCTAAAGCTGAAGGAAGACCGTGGAGACAAGAGCTAAACAGGTTTCTACTTCAATACAGAACAACGCCACATTCGACTACCAAAGTACCACCGTCGGAGTTAATATTCAATCGTGTGGTAAAAGGCAAACTTCCAATGATCAGTAAACGAAACATTGTGGAGAGACACAAACAAGCATGAGAGAATGACAAGGCAGGACAAGAGTATAACAAGCAGTACACAGACAATCGTCTGAAAACTAAACATCGTAACATTGCTGTTGGTGATTGTGTATTGGTTAGACAGAGAAAACAAAACAAGCTGACAACAAATTTTGAGACACCACACCATATCGTGTTATAGAAACAAACAGATCGCAAGTTACAGCACAAAGTAAAAATGGACACAAAATAACAAGAAATGTGTCACACTTTAAACGTATCACCAGAAAAAAAGTAGAGGTAGATACTGATCAATGACGAAGAGTGTTAAGGAAATGATGCAGAGAATGCGAAGGCAGGACAAAACAATTCTCAATCGACACCCAAAGTTCCAGTGAACATAGCTTGGAGATCAACAAGAGACAGAAGAGCACTGCAAAGATACGGTAACCCATTAATGTGGAAATAAACACTTTCTCAAAAAAGGGGAGTGATGTAATATACAGATAATACAATATATATATTAATAACTAATTATAATACTAAAATAGAGATGGTTGACATTATGTTGACAGGACTAATTAAGGATGTAGATAGAATAAGAGAGTATTGTAGAAGGGTTAAAAAATACAAGATTTAGAATAGAAGATCGATATAGAAAGAATATTCCATTTAGGACAATGGGGGTTATAACATTTTTTTTTTACTGTAACAATGCTGCATTCTGGGCAGCTTTGAAAAGAATTTGCAGTTGTGAAAGGAGCACAACAAACTTTGGTTCTGTTTGTATGTTGCCAGAATTATTTAACATGCTGTGAACAAGGGATTAAAAGAAGTAAAAACCATCAAGTTTCTGTTTTTCATGCCTGCTTACTTTATGTCTTCTGGTTGCTCATCATCATCTTCGGATGACAAATCTTAGTAAAAGACAAACTACCAGAAAACAAGCTGTGTGCTCTGTTTAAATCTCAGAAATTTCTGGTTCTTTGATGAAATCCATTTTATCACAGGAGTTGTCTCTTGTATAATCCTTAATGTCCACAATTTTTTCTTACATGGAAGCCATCTGATTTATACTCTCTTCTAAACAATCTGTAATTTTAAATAAGGTACCAATATATTTTTTTCAAACTGGATGGAACCCCTCACGTTTTAGAGATGATCAGTTCACTCAGAGATGCTTATTCTCGTGTTTAACTCAGAAAGTTGTGTCAATTAAACTGGTACCTTTTTGTTGATGAATCTCAAGATCTTTAACTTCTAACCTTTTTTTAACAATTATTTTATTTTGCTGTTGCCTGTTCAGACTTTCTAACTTCTTGCAACATAAACATTGTGTAGAAGCTGTTTGGGTGGAGGTTTCATTGAACTAGAAAAACAATAAGCAATCAATACAGTATTCAATGCATTTTAGAGCAATAATTATGACAGTACTTTTTGTTAGTAATAACATAACGAATGTTTATCACTTACTGGCTTGTTGTCATTTCACATGCTTTGTCGGTACAAAAGCAACCCAAATTTGTAGATCGGACAGTTTAAAGTGGGAATGCAGGAGGCAAATTAACGGAAAGTGATACAGGATTGAAATGTTGATTCGAAAAGACAGTTGGTTCGAGGTTCAACCTGACACTATCGTAGCTAGAGATTTGCCAGGCGGAAAACGGATTCTTATTATAAATATGAGAGCCCAACATATAACATTTAAGAAAGCCATCAAAACAATTTGAAATTTAAAAGTAAATATATTTGTAACGTTTCGTCTTTAACCTAAGACATCTTCAGACAAGTGATATAAAATTACATGAGATTTGAGTATATATAATCTATTTACATATGTAAATTAATGACGGATAGGAAGGTATAAGATAGTACATGACAAAACCGCACAGACGAAGGGACATAAACACAATACAAAAACTATGAAAACACGTTACAGAAGATTAAGTGGGATTGAACTGCCCTGGATGTTAAGCGAGGGTTTGAGTTTGGAGATGAGGAGGCTTTCATGAATCATGAGTTCATGTTTGTCAGAACATGAAGAAAGAATTTTAAAATCATCAAAGTCGGCACAGTGCCCTGCAGTGGTTATGTGGGAGAAGATGCTGGACAAAACTGGACTAGATGACGGTTTTCCAGTTATAGGGGAAATTCCCAAGTGTTCCGATACTCTGGTGTGTAGATGGCGTGTGGTTTGACCCACGTACGATGCGGAACAGCATCGACACTTGAAAAGGTATACAACACCGGATCTCAGAAACTTGGGAACTTTATCCTTAAATGGAAAAAAGGAAGAAATACGTGTGGTGGAACGAAAAACAAAGCGAATATTTAGATGCAGATAAGCAGCATTACAAAGTCGAGTAATTTGATTGCGAATCTGAAGCGAAGGCTGAAGGCTGGCAACTGCATCAACGAAAGAACTTACAATGAACTGTATCCCACTGGTACACGCATTGGCATACTATACGGACTTCCAAAGATTCATAAATCCTCTATTCCTTTAAGGCCCATTCTATCATGTATCAATCACTATTCGTACGCAATAGCTAAGTTTTTCATTCCTTTCCTTACTCCAATCTCTATCAGTTCTTTTGTCATAAAGGACTCGTTTTCCTTTGTTCAGGAACTGTTGAGCAGTGACATTGATTCAGACCATGTAGTTATGGCCAGTTTTGATGTTGCATCATTGTTCACTAATATTCCTGTGGATGAAACGATTGAGATCATCTCAGATCTCATTTTTTCAAACTGTATGTGTTTTGAAGGCCTTGATCGTTCACAATTTACCAAACTCCTATCTCTTTCTGTTAAAAACTGTCACTTTTCCTTTAATGGCCAGATTTATCAGCAGATTGATGGTGTGGCTATGGGTAGCCCTCTAGGACCACTCTTCGCCAATATTTTCATGTCTTTCCATGAGAAATCATGGCTCTCCAACTGTCCTCCTTCTTTCAGACCTATTCTATATCGACGTTATGTTGATGATTGTTTTCTTCTTTTCAGATCCTTGGATCATGTTCCTACTTTTCTTAATTACCTAAACTGCCAGCACCCTAATATCTCTTTTACATCTGAATTGGAAAGAGACGGAAAGCTGCCTTTCCCTTTCCTAGATATTGAAATAACTCGCTCAAGAGGTAAATTCTCCACCTCTGTTTATCGTAAACCCACATTTACCGGTCTTTTTACCAACTTCCACACTTTCATTCCTGTTGATTATAAACGCTCTTTAATCTCCTGTTTACTTCACCGAATCTTCAACCTCTGTTCTAGTTATGAAAATTTTCATATCCAACTTGAGGTTGTTAGGAATTTGTTCAACTTGAATAGTTATCCCGCTTATATGTTTGACGAATTAGTTCGTCGCTTCCTTAACAACACCTTTGAGCCAAAACCACTTATTCACACAGTTTCAAAGAAAACGGTCTATTTTTGCCTTCCCTTCACTGGTTCCCACTCGCTTCAGATTCGCAATCAAATTACTCGACTTTGTAATGCTGCTTATCCGCATCTAAATATTCGCTTTGTTTTTCGTTCCACCACACGTATTTCTTCCTTTTTTCCATTTAAGGATAAAGTTCCCAAGTTTCTGAGATCTGGTGTTGTATACCTTTTCAAGTGTCGATGCTGTTCCGCATCGTACGTGGGTCAAACCACACGCCATCTACACACCAGAGTATCGGAACACTTGGGAATTTCCCCTATAACTGGAAAACCGTCATTTAGTCCAGTTTTGTCCAGCATCTTCTCCCACATAACCACTGCAGGGCACTGTGCCGACTTTGATGATTTTAAAATTCTTTCTTCATGTTCTGACAAACATGAACTCATAATTCATGAAAGCCTCCTCATCTCCAAACTCAAACCCTCGCTTAACATCCAGGGCAGTTCAATCCCACTTAATCTTCTGTAACGTGTTTTCATAGTTTTTGTATTGTGTTTATGTCCCTTCGTCTGTGCGGTTTTGTCATGTACTATCTTATACCTTCCTATCCGTCATTAATTTACATATGTAAATAGATTATATATACTCAAATCTCATGTAATTTTATATCACTTGTCTGAAGATGTCTTAGGTTAAAGACGAAACGTTACAAATATATTTACTTTTAAACTTCAAATTGTTTTGATGGCTTTCTTAAATGTTATATGTTGGGCTCTCATATTTATAATAACAACCTGACACTAGTTGAAATTGTAAAATTAACATACTGGTGGTGCAGAGGGGTAAGCCAAGAGAACATTTGGCACAAAGTCAACATAAGCGAACATACAGCAGTAGATTGGGATAACCTTTGCCGAGAGACTTGCAAAGTCAAACTTCTAGAGAGAGAGGAGAAGATCAGGGGATCAGGAAAGACTGCTCAAATCGACAAAAGCAAGTTTGGAAAGAGAAAATACCATCAAGGACATAAAGTTGAAGGGCAATGGGTATTTGGAGGAATCAAAGATGAATCCCAAAGAAGTTTTATGGGCTCTGCTGAGAAACATGACAAGGAGACCTTCTAGGCATTAATGAAGCATCACATAGCTGAGGGTAACGCAATCATCTCAGACTGTTGGAAAGTGTATGTAAACCTAGAGAAGCATGGGTATGTTCATAAGTACATTAATCACTCTAAACAATTTGTAAATACTGATGGTGATCATACAAACAAGATCGAAGGTCATTGGCGACAAGCAAAGACAAATATGCCTGACTTTGACAAACGAAAATCAATGTTTTCGTCCCACTTAGCAGAGTTCTTGTGGCATTATGAGCACAAAGGAAGTGACTATTTTGGAAATTTCTTCTAGACATTAAAAAAGATGTATGGAAATTTTTAAAGTGGTAATCAGGTATTCATACTGTAATTCTGTAAATAGCTAAGTACTGTAATGTTTGATATAGGTAGATGAACAGTAGGTAGACAATATGATATCATTAGTGGAGGGGTATTCTGCAATTTAGCCGAAATTTACATTGCACCTTTGGCTCCCATTTTCCAACTAGGTGTGAACAAAATGTTTTAGTATAGCATGTCTTCTAGTTAGCAG